GCGGCCCGCGCCCCGGCCTGGCCCGCGGCCGCCCCTCGCGGGCCGTGGGTGGGCCCCTTCTGCCTTCCCTCGCGCTCCTCAGCTGTGGGGCGCGCCGCTGCACCCCAGCCGATGCTCGCGCGCCTGGGGCTGGCCCCCGCGACCTTGGCCGGGGCTCCGGCCGTGCTGCGCCCGGCTTCCCTAGGAAAGCGAGGAAATGCCGAAGGGCTTGGGGTTGAGGACTGTACGGGGCCCAGTGCACGCTTGTAGAACGCTGGGCGAGGCGCAGCCCCGCGCCGGGGTGAGTGGGAGGAAACCTCCTACCGCCCGCAGCTCTCCGGTGCCTTGTCATTGCACACTCAGTGCCCGGCGAAGTAGAGCCGGCCCTGGCCGCCTTCTGTGCCACCCCAGCGCACCCAGGGCTGTGCTCTCTGGCCTGGAGCACGCCAGACCCATGTGCCCCAGGACCTTTGCACTCTGCGGGTGTTTGCAGCTGTCCCCGGGATTTCTGCGAGGCCAGCTCCTTTGCCCTTCCCCTGGTTAGATGCGTCCTTCTGAGTGAGGCCTGTGTGACCATGCTCTTTCCTTCCTGAGTCATTCTCATTATGTTTGTTTCATTTTCTTTCTACTCTGATTTGAAACTGTTCTTTTTATTTGCCTGTTTTTTGTAGCTTAATGAAACAGGTAGTTGTCTGACTTGTCCACTGATTTCTCAGTACTGAGGAGGCACGCGGTAAGTATTCAATTCAATGGATGAGCAAAGGAATGTCTCAGCTCCGTGTTGTCTGTTTTATCAGTTCATTTCATGACTTCTGGCAAGTGACCTGAGGACACTTGTTATTTCGTGAAACATTTTAATGTCCTTGACCTCTTTGGTGACTGAGAACAAGTTATGATACGAGTCTTACATTTTTATGAACTTAATTTTCTCCCACATTTTCAGGAGAATTCTACATTATGTAGGTCATGCTTTATGCTGGCCCGTAGGGACACAAAGGAGATGACAACAGGGTCTGTTCCCCCAGAGTGCCCAGTTCAGCAGAGGCCAGCGTGCAGACAGGTCCCTGACAGGCTTAGTGCCTCTTGTAGTGGAAGGGATCGGCCATGGAAATGTGGAAGAGGTGATAGGTGGTGCTGTTGGTTCTTGAATGATGACCAGAAGTTTGCCAGGCAGGGACAAACACAGCAGTGAAAGGGCAAGGCGGGCCATGGAACTTAGCCCATTGTGGAGCTGAGGATCAGTCCTTGAGGCCAGGTGTAAGCAGTTTTCTTTTAAATTTTTTTATTTATGTGTGTGTGTGTGTGTGTGTGTGTGTGTGTGTGTGTGTGGCCAGCTCAGCCCACCAGGGGGCGGGGCTGGCTGGCATGTGGTGCTGGGGGATTGAACCGTGGTCCCTGGGCTTTGCTAAGCTTGTTCTAAGTAGGTGCTTTAGACCACTGAGCCATCTCACCAGCCCCGAGTAAGCAGTTTTCTAAAAGTCAACTCCAAATTTGTACTCACCCAATGTTTAAATGTTTGCAATAAGTAATTAAAATGTTCATTAAAGTACTTCAAGCATGGCCACGTGCAGACCTCATTTGATTTGGTTGCAGGATTGGCAGCCTCCGGGACAGGCTTGTAGGAGGGAGTTGTAAGGAGCTGGAAAAGTAGCCTGGGGCTGGGACAACCAGGCCCTTTTTGCTCAGGTTTCAGGCAGGTACTTATTTGATTGCCACTGGAGACCTGAGTAGTGGTTTGAATCCTGTTTAACAGAGGAGGAAACTGAGGCACACAGGATCTCAGCAGGCTGCTCATAGCAAGCAGCTGTTAAGTGGAATTGGACCCAGATCTCCCCAAGGCAACAATCCTTCTGGGTTCTCAGCTCTGAGAATTGTTTTTGGCTTTTAATTTGTTCTGAAAGAACAACAGCCAATCTTTTATTTAACTTTCTTTCTTCCTCAAGAATTCTGCAGGGTTGAAAATAATCCTTTTCTGGCATAGGATGCCAAGACTTATAATCATTTGTTAATGGATTAAAAATATTTTCACTCAGTCCTGTAAATAAGTGTTTGAAGGTTTACTTCAGATTTGTTGATTTAAAATAAAAATCTTAATTATTGGACAAAGAAAAGTACTAGACAAATCAATATTCAGTTGTTTTCATGATATATAAAATAAACCTGATTTTTTTCTTAAGGATATTCATTTAGCACAAGCATTTTTTATCTGATGTATAGTTATTTTTACATTTGGTTAGGAAAGTGCCAACTTACCTAATTTTCTTTAAGAATAATTAATACTTTTTTATTTAAAGAATAATACCTAATAATTTGGCCTTTTGTGATTGTGTGAATTAGTTTTAATATCAAACTGTTACTGTAATTGTTTACTGTGGGGAGTTTTGAACATATACAAAAACAAGTAGAACTGTATGCACCTTCAATAGTTACTAGCCCCTGGCCAGTCTCATTTCATCTCTGACTTCATTCACTTACACATTTACTCTGCTCATACTGTTTTCAAGCAGAACCTAAATATCATCATTTCATCCATGAATTTTTCAGTGTGTATTTCTGAGATATAAGGGCTCAAAACTTGAAAAAGCAGTAATTCTTTAATATCAAATAACCACTCGGTATTTAAATTTCTAGTCTCATAAATTTTATAATTTCTTTGTTTGAAGATAGGTCCAGATACAGTTCATATTTTGTGATTGGTGTGTCTTTTAGGTTTAAATTCAGATTCCCCCTCTGTTTCTTTCTTTTCTTTTTCTTTTCTTTTTTTTTTTTTTTTGCGGAACCAGGGAATGAACTCAGGCCCTTGCGCTTGCCAGGGAAGCGCTTATTCCACTGAGCCATCTCCCCAGCCCCTATTTCTTTTTTTTTCTTGTAGTTTACTTGTTAAAACCATTGGGTTGTTCCTGTAGTGTTAGAGCTTATATTGTTCCTGTATCTCTGCAATGTGATTTAATGTATTTCTGTGTATTTCCTGAAAATTATCATTATTATTATTTAATATATTTAGTACGGGGTCTACAGGGTCTCACTACAGTTTGGACTCATAGTGATCTTCCTGTTTTCAGCCTCCCAAGTGCTGGGATTACAGGCATGCACCACTGTGTCTAGTCTCAGCAAGCCCTGGGGCAGGGCTGCTAACACATGCCAGGGATTGAACATGCTCCCTGCATCTACCTTAGGCAGGTGCTTTAATCCACTGAGCTATCTGGTCAGCCCTATTTCCTGAAAATTTATAGGTGGATCTTGATGAGGCTTGGATTAGTTCAAAATATACCCATGTCTGGTGGATGATGCTGTCCTGTGGAGAGGTGCCCTGAGATTCTGTGCCCATCCTGTTTAACAAGATTGGTGCAGTCACTTGCCCCAGATTATCCAGATAGTAAAAGCTGAGTCCAGTGTTCTGATCTTCACTGCCCTATCACATTTATTCTCCTGCTTAGACTTGCTTTTAGTAGACAGTGACATGACACCCCTGTGTAATTAGTGGGAGATTAAATAATAAGTCACTTTCTGCACTTCGGAAGCTAGAGGTAGAGAAAGACTTGCAATGCAAAATAAGAGGAATACAAATTGGGATGCCCCCAAAAGGGGACATGCCTAGCACAAAGGGAAACCTAGAAGAAGGTACTGCAACCAGCTTTTGAGGGACAGTGCAGTTTGGCCAGGACAGCAGAGCAGGAAGTAATTCAGACAGATGGAAATGCACAGGCAGAGGCCTACAGGTGTACAGTAGCCGGGTGTGTCCTTTCCTCCCAGGTGGTCTGGCAGTGCCCAAGAGTGGGTCAGGACCTGATGTGCTCTGTGCTGTGCCTAGGGTTTGAATCTTAGTCTGAAACTCACTGTGAAAGACATCCAAGCAGGAAAATGGGGTTATCACTATGTATTTTCAACAAGTCTCTCTTTCACTTCCTTATTGTATAGTAATTATAGCTCCACAGGCAGTTACAGAATCCCATGTACCTTTCACCCAGTTTTCTTTCAAGACTGTAACCACACTGTGATGTTAGGCCAGGAAATTAGGGTTGGTGCAGTGTGTGTGTATAGTTTATGTCATTTTATCACATGTGGAGTTCATGTATTGCCACCACCACTATAATCAAGGTACAAAACTATTTTGTCAGCCCAAAGATCTCCCCACGTTACTCTTTTATAGTCATATGAACTGCCTTGCCCCTCATCATTCAAAGCCCCTGCTTTGAATAAATGCTACTAATCTGTTTTACATCTCTCCACTTTTGTCATTTCAAGAATATATGGGATTGTACAATATGTGACCTTTTGAAATTGGCTTTTACTGTTTACTGTTACTGTTATAGCTTATATCTGGCTGTCCCACCAAAGCCAAAGCCTCATGCGATCAGACCTGGGGCTTTTCAGAGGTGGCTGGATCTAGGCTGTGTTATGCTGGGATCAAGGGTGTAAATGCTGGGATCGATTCATGGTATGATGTTAGAATTCAGGGTGTAAGTGCTACCCACCCAAAGGGCAGGAAGCCTGTATAAGTTAGGAGACAGAAAGAGGGTCGCTGCTTGCCACACACTTGCTGCTTGCTGCCTGCTGCCTTCTGCCTGCTGCCTGCTGCCTGCCGCCTGCCTGCTCTGTGATGCCCTTCTGCTGTGCCACCCTGCCTTGGAGCCTGCCTACTATGAACTGAAGCCTCTGCAAACTGAGCCAAATAAACCTTTCCTCCTTAACTTTGGGCGTTTGGTATTTTGTTTCAGCAAGAAGAAAAGTATCTAAGATATTTAGCAAGCGCACTTGTCCCTCAGTGAGGTTCCAAGACCCCACAGAGGTGCTGAAGCCCCCAGATGCTCAAGCCCCTTCTGTCAGGTGGGGCAGTATGTGCATATAGTCTCCATGTACCTCTGCCCATGTACTTGTAAATCACCTCTAGGTTATTCATAGCACCTAATACAAAATAAACACCTAAGATGATAGAGAAAAAACTACATTTGTACTGAATTTGTGCAGTACATTTTCCCAAAATGTTTTTTTCTTTTAATTTAAATTTTTTTAAACTGGTACATAATGAATAAAAATCACACATTAATGAGGTACCATTAATTATATTTTGATACTTGTATAATATACATGTTATATAACATTTAAATCGGATCAGGAATTGATCTCAAACACTTTTCTTCCTTCTTTGCTTGCTTGCTTGTTTCCCTTCCTTTCTTCTTTCCTTCCTTCCCTGCCCTGGAGACTAAACCCAGGGCCTTTTCACTAAGCTACATCCACACCCCTCTTTTCATTTATTTTCAGATGAGGTCTTGCTAAGTCTCAAGCTGGGCTTGAACTTGGACCCTCTTGATTGAGCCTCCTGATTGCTGGGTTTATAGGCACGTGTCACCATGCTGGGCCATTTGTTAGTTGTTCTAACAAAATGGTTTTAAAAAAAAATGTTGACATGCACAGTACTTGGATGTCTTTAGGCACCCTACTATGCAGTGTATACCTAGTTACGCCTGTGTAAGTGTAACTTGGACCTGTGGGTCTTCCTGAATGCTTTTTGTCTGTGATTGGTTGAATTAACAGATGCAGAGTCTATGAATATGCAGGGCCAACTATACAATGCCTTGAGGTCCCCTAAGCTGTTATGTGTATTAGTAATTGGTTCTTTTAGTGCTGAGCAGTATCCTGTAGTATGGACATAGAGCTGTTTAACCATCCACCCACTGAAGAACATTGTTTTCAGTTTTGATCTGTTAACAAAACTGCTCCAAGCATTTGTAT